AAAAAAGCAAAATATTTTAAAATAAAATCACAACAAACCAATTTACTTCCTTTCTCAGACTTCAAGATGTCTTTTCAAAACTCATTGGTCTGGACTTATCTCTATGAAAATCTAGGGGAATTACCAAGATCATTAAAGACCAARTTTACAAGGCTAAAGTCAACCACATATATATTGTTTTGCTAGACATAATTTCCTCTCAGATATTTTATCTTTCATCCTCTACTAATTTTGAGATGTTTATAAAAGAAATAAGAGGCATTTATACGTGTTTAACCAAGTCAAAAGATAGGGCTTAATTGTTAACCTTGGTAAATTCAAAGACCTTCAAGATAACAACCCAGTAACACGGCCATCATTTGTTGTCTCCCAAGTAATGAAAAGTTAACTGAAGAGTTAATAAGTTAAAAGCATTTTATAGAGGGGGTTGGAAACACAACTGCAGAATCTTTCATCTCATTCCGAGCTTTGTTTTGCTTCCAGTGGTGTCACTGCTTCTTTGAGAGCATATGTAAGTTAATGGAGTTAACTCATTGTTATGTGATCGCAACGCAGGGCTCTGCAGGGATCCAAATGAGAACTTTTGGCTCAGGAACCCATGTAGCAAACGTGGTCTTCTTCAGTATGTTCCTGTCTCGAGAGCAGATTCTGTAGGCATGCTATAGAGGTTTGATTTTCAGGGAACAGGGCAAGCCATGTTAGATGAAGACACACGAATTCCCCCTACTACAGTTGGGATCATCACTGATGACCAAATAACATCCCTGAATCCAGCACCATTTCACCAGCGGATCTCCACGTGTCACCTTGCCTGTCAGGTCAGGGAAGCCTGGCAGCTATTTAACTGCTGGAGTAAGAGGCTCTACTACTTCAGGAATTCAGGATTAATTTGACTGCACTACATTGATCACAAATGCCTGGTGACGCAAATACAATGGTGGTGTTTGCTGACTGTACTTGTGCCTAGTGTGCAGCTGATCACAACCAGCCTCCAGGCAGGCATTTTTATGTGCACTGAACTGCTAAATGGTTGGGTTTGGATGCCTCCTGTAGTACCACCAGCTCAGGCTCTTGAATGAACATGCCAGGAACAGCTTGAGTCTCTGACAGAAACTGGGCACTTTTTTTGACTATTTCTTGTCATCAGAGAGATTTGAGTCTATCAAGCAGTGAAAGATGGACAAAATGTTCAGTTTAGCATCACAGACACGGGGTGACTTGCTTTTTCCAATTATGCTTTCAGACACGGTCAGACTTTCCATTATGAGAGTAAAGTGCTTATCCTACAGCRAAGTCCTGTCCTTATCCATTTCCTCATGGAAGGGGCATCAGACTGAAAATGTAGAATTTACCCCCTCCCAAACAYGCTTTATAATATTCACAGGCAGGGGCTCTGAAGCACAGATCCATACTGACATAAAGGATGATGAACTCCCCCAAGCCATTTCCAGACAAGTGCTCTTTCAGCAGTGCTCTCCGACCACTACCACCCCAAAAACAACAGAAGATGCTTCTTTTGRGCCCAGAGCCTGGATCCAGGATCACAGGCCAAAGGAGATGATTCTGGTATTTTCAAAGCCAGCATAGCTGGTCATTCAAGCGATGCCTGCTCACCTGTAACAGTGAATGGTCACCGAGACCCAGTGACATGGAAATTAGAAGACTGTTTCTTGTGTAGAAGCTCTCTTTGCTTTTCATTAGGATTTAAACAGTGGAGCTTTGCAGATCAGTGAGGTGGGGTGGAAACAACTGCTCAGAGTTAGAGGGAAAAACTGTGTGCTTCAAGGCAAAAGGCTGACCCTCTAATCAGATTTTCACCTCACCTGCAAGGGAGGAGGGAAAGCCTTTGCTCAGCTTTGAACAAATTCTTCCTGGAATAAACTTCATGCACGCATAGACAGGAAACCCAATCTGCATTCACCATCTGGCAATACTTCAATGTGAAGTGGCAGTTTGCTATAAGGACAGAGGGGATGGTAWCAAAAAGAGGTCTCCAAACTTGATCCAGCAACCACTTAAGTCTCAAGGAGCAAGAGTTATCCTGCAAGAGTACTTTCAYGAGACAATACTACTACAGGAAGGTCTAGCCCTATGCTTTTGTTTCACTTGAGGTCTTATATTTTAGAGTGGATTTTGTTTTCCGTAACATAGTCACAAGATGATCATCATCAAGTCCACATTTGGGCTTGGCAGGAACTCTCCAGAGAAAAATCTTGCATTCTTCCATTGGAAAGAGCCCATATACAGCAGTTGTGGGCTAAACAGAAGCGAGGGTTGAAAAGATAASTGGGCTGATTTTGCCTAAAAGAAGGGGCAGTTATTTCTAACTCCCTTATTTCTATTTCTGTTGACTTTTGAACAAAAAGAAAAGTCTCAGAAATACCTGCACCCCAATAGTCCTGCTCTGGGGCTGTTCTTCCTGTGCCCCTGACAACTCCCAGTCATCAGGTCATATCAAACACAGACAACTGTGGTACCAATTAGCAGAATGAGGGTCACATAGCTCGCTCAGTTGAAAAAGGCAGATGAGGAGTCATCACCTATGCTGGTAGGCACAGGGATGCTTCAAAAATATCTTTATTAGAAGTTGAAAGCTGTGCAATTCTCATGCACACAATACCACCAAATACAGACAAATGCATCTGTCAGCTCGGACAAGCTTGATTTACTTCTTTATATAAGCATACAGCCTTGTTCTTGGAAAAGCCACAGAGTAAATAKATTTTCTTCTCAGATAGTGCCAGACATATGCGCAGAAGTGAAACAAAAACAAAAGGAAGAACAAGTGAAGCCACAATCAGACTGTAGCTCTGTTCTACCACASGGGAGAAACTTCCCAGGAAGCGATAGCCAAACTTTGACTGAGGAATCACCTTCACATGCTGATGTGCGAGCTCCAGGCTTCTCAAGGGCAGACAAAAAGCCTGCTTCAGCAGCAGTCATATCCATGCTCAAACTGCTTGATAAGTCCTGCTTTAGTTTGTTCAGTCAGAACTATGGCCACAAGTAAACTTTTAATTTGAACTGTCCTTTTACCTTATGTTGTTTTACCTTATGTCTGAGTAAATAAAAATACAAGTGCATCAGATACGTCCTTGAAACCCCCAAATGCCCAGAGCAYTTCTGTAGTTAGTGATGTTCTTGCTCAGCAATTGCATAAGACCCCCAAGAAAACATTTTTGCCCAAAGAAACTGGTGTTTGTGAGGCAGTAACAGAATCRTATATTATTTTTCAGATGTGTGTAAAACAAATGTGCTTAAGTTCACATTAGTGAAGATAATCCCCATACCTATTAGCAATTCTTTACACAAATCTATAAACACACATGGCCATATTTTATAAAGTAAAACCCTGTTCCAAATCCATTTACTACGAAAAAACATCTACACCTTCTTGTCATATTTCTGTCATCTATATTCTATAGATTCCTTATGTGAACTACTTAAACAGAAATAAATGTGCTYGTCCAAGGATCCTCAGCAGAATATTCAAATAGCTCTCACCAACCTCTTGACTCAAATCTTACAAGGGTTTGCAGATCCTTTTTCTTTAAAGTGTGCTGTGCAGACAGCTCTTCAAAATTACGAAATGGACGGTCAGATGTCATCTCTAAAGCAACAGCAATAGCAACAAAGGAATAATGGAGCCAGAAAAGGGGTGCAATTGCTCACTAAAAATAGAAACACTGTTAATAATAATAATAATAATAAAAAAAGCATAGCCACACATAAATGCCCATTAACTTTAGTCCTAGTAATTGCATTTGCTCATGAGGGTTATAATAAGCACCTGGCTTTCCACATATAATTTCCTCAAATTACTAAAGGACACTGAGACCACCCCTATCACACAGAAGTTCTTATGGAAACAGCAGTCCTCTTAAGTACTGAATGTGCAAAGAGCTTTCCACACCTCAGCCACTACAAGGAAAGCCAGGCTTATTGGCATGCAAGCAAATCTGGCTCAGGAACTCACCCCACACACACGCAGAGGAAAGGGCAGGAGACAAATGCGACTGCGACATCAGTGACTGCTTATGACGTTAGCAAAAGGAGCTTCTGCTGCTCTTATTCAGACTGCAGGTATCAGTCTTAGCACTTGTTTTATTTCATGCTGCAGCTTCAGTTTTGTTTATTCTGGGGTGATATCACAACAATTTAGGAGCCTTAGAACAGCTGCCCCCTGGCTTCAGGAAGAAAAAGTATTGCATCTAATAAAGGCCTAACACCTTCTCATAATAACTATTTAATCACCACTTGATAAGATTCTTCTGAGAACAGACACCTTTACTTTCAGGGCTTGATTTAAACTGCAGGGCAGATACTGAAAAATAAAATTAAAAAAAAAAAAAACACAAAAAAATGCTTGCATCTGATCCTCTGCCACTATAGTTTACTACCTGCCAACCCAATTTTTTAGCTCTTTCTCTAAAGCATGAGCTCCTTCCCACTTCCTGAAAATCCACTTCCAACTGGATTCCAAGTGCTGAGAGCAAAGGATTTGGGAACAAGCTCATCWTGCACTGAGCCACAACTAAAATCCTTTTGTTAATACAAAATGATTAAAAAGGTTAAATATATAATTAAGAGGTCAGATATACATATATATTGTATGTATTCGTAACTAGAAACAGTAACTTCAGTGCTTTCCAATCTTAGAGCAATCTGCACGTGCAAAACAGATATTCTGAGGAAAGCTCCTGAGCTACCTCTTCTCTCGCTTGTTTGAGGAAGAAAACACCCAGGCAGAGCAAGTGAAGGATGTGCAACAGCCACATGGTCCAGGGGCAGTGAGAGCTTTGCCTGACCATTTAGCTGCCAGAGCTGATGTCAACAAGGTAGAGGAGCCTGAGGGAAAGAGTAAATATTACACCAGCTAAAGCTTTTCCCAAACACAATAATAAACTCATGCCAAATCTGTGAAAGGAGAACCCTCAACCAAGTAAAGCTCTGTGATGCATGTTGGCAGCAGATGCCTTTCATCCTGCTCCTGAGGCTGCTCATTTCAGCTGTGGAAGAGGTCCAGGAATCACTGGAGGGGCTGCCTGAGGACAAGGCTTGCAATATTTCCTTTTTTCCATCAGAGTCATTTTGGGATTCATACCTGGAGAACAAGGATGGAAAGGAGAGAAAAAAAACCAARAGAGACGTTTAATGTTTCGAATGGCACAAAGTGTCAATATATGATCATTTGTTTGTATGGCCAGGCTTAGATGCTGGTGAGCTGAAAACAAAAGGGATATGACATGATCTTCTCTTCATTAGATTGCTGGAGATGATTCAATCCTGCTTTTCCTCCTGTGCAGATGACACACAGTTAGTGAAGGAATCACCATATCTACTGCTGCTGCTGGCAGTGTCCAGACAGGTCAGGGTCTGCACAGATGAGACGGCAGAACGACACTCTCCAAAGTTCAAGTTCTACAGCCAAGGCTTTACACAGCTAATTACATTATACTACAGAACAGCATCCCTCTTCATATCACCTCACCACCGGCAGTTGCTTTTGCTTTGGAGAAAGAACTAGGTCTGAGGAAAAAAAAGGTTTTGTTGCTAAAGCAGTAGTCAGTGCAGTTTGATTATCCCTCCCTAAGCTACACTGAGATAACCCTTAAGCAGCTTTACAACCACTTGTGCATAGGTCTAGCAGGAAGAACAGAGCAGAGCAGCACTTAAACACTGTCTTTGCCTACTGAGTGTAGAAAGCAGGTAACACTCATTCCCCTAGAAAAGCAACATGAAAATAAGCATCACACAGCATTCTAATAACAACACAGAATATAGCCTATGTTGTTCAGTTCCCATTCGGAACCAAATATGGAACAAAACACTGCTTTTTTWAAGTCTGTTTCAGCAGTAATCAAACAGATTCAGATCAAGCATTTTCACAGAAGCTGTTCTATAACTGAGGGATGAGTAGTATACTGTACAGAAGCAGGAAAAGGCAATACCCAATTTAGAGGGGACCTGGTTACAGCTGGAGACAAGAGGAGGCCACAGGAGYTGGGCAGATGCTCACAGGCAGTCAGGGAACAGCTGAACAGGGTACTGAGACCATCGGGGGTTACTACTGGGGAGGACGGCAGTTCAGATTCCCTCTTAGAGATCTTTGCAGCCAACACACAGGTTTTAACATGTTGAAAACAAACTGCTTTTGCCTTAAGACCTAACTTATATTTGAATAAGCCCTCAATTTCATCTTCAAATAAAGAAAAGAGGACAAAACTATACACCTCTAATCACAGGCATAATGGAGTGCTCACTGCCTCTGCTATTGTATTTCATAAAACAAAGTCCATGATCCAGAGGGAAGCACTGGGAGGCCACACGGCAGTGATCACAGTCTCCACCTAAGGGGAGCATGTAAGGGCTTCTACTGTAAAGAAACATGTGGACTCCACCCGAGCTAGGCAAATAGAAAAAGGAATAAAGAGCTAAGGAGTTTTATGTTTAAAGGACAGAAAGTAGGTAAATAAGTCAGTGGGAAATAAGTTATTTTCAATCATATTTTTAAGGTTTACTAAAGGTTACCAGCTAACTCATTATAGTAGAGCTTTCCCAAATTTTTAAGTATTATTACTCTCCAAAATGTACATGGTATCCACGTATAAATGCTACTGCAATATTTAATGGTGTCTAAAGATTAGAATTAGATTAGACTTGCTCATTAGGGTCTCACTGAAGCCAGGGAAACTATGAACACACAGAAAGAAGCAACTGGAGTTTACAGACTACTGTAGATGTTGAATCATCTTGGTAAAGACATATAGAATAGTAGAACACTACTGCTAAGGCAAGAAACTGTCAACTGTTCAGCAGAAGCAGTGATGTGATGACAAAAGTTCAACAGCTGCTTAAAAAAGTGTATGTTTTTCTTCAGGAAGTATTTATTTTGGTAACTGGAAACTGGGCTAGTAGATCTAGTTGTCCTGCTGTTCTTCTGAACAGGGAGTTAAGTCTCAGCTGACTTGCTCAATTCCTTGTTTCCGCTTTCTACGGGGCCAAACACATGGGGCTCTTTGCAGGCTCGTACAGGTATGCGTGTTTAATGCAAACAACAAGGTACACAGAGTGAGGACTGAGCTTGCAGCTGGAAGTACTTACATCAAATCCCAGCTCTCAGYGAGGCACCAGTCAATTAGCTCACTTTTCCCTTGTTCCCTATGATCAGTTTTATGAAAGTATAAATGCACCACTTGAATTTCCTACCAAAAATAAGGTTACTTAGAAAATAAAATACCTTGCCCACACTTTAAAGACTATTATTTTTCTACATTTTCCATTCAGAAGGTCTTGAAAGACTACAGAGCAGCCCCTGCCTTCCACTCACTCAAGCCAGGGTACACCAAGTAAAAATAGCTCTCAAGTACTTGAATGCAGGAGTATTCTGATTTGKTTAGTCCTTAGTCTGTCCTAAGCAGGCAGTTCTTGAACCCAGAGCAAAATTTAATCTTTTTTCTTTTGAATTTACAGACTCATGCTTTGGTTGGTCTCTCATAAAATATGGAGACAGACACAACCACAAATAGCTTCTGAGATAAGGGAGCAAGGAAATCCATCATAAAGCTCTTTGCCTTTACAGGTTCTTTTTATTCTTTTCAATAAGGAACCATGGTATGATATTATTCTTCCTGCCCTCAGAACAAAAGCAATACCTTCCCCAATGCAGGAACTGATAGAAACAGTATGTTTTCATTAGACTATCCGCCTTCTCCAATTGTTTCACACTGTGAGCATTAAACTGTTTCCCTACTCTCATTTCTTCCCCATCCAAACCCTGATGTACCAGACAATTGATAAAAGAAAGTTATTTTTGTGGCACAGGGAAAGTAATTCTCACCAATGGGAGAAATTGTGGAGTTCACAGATGAAAAAACTAAGTAACATCAAATCATTATCACTACAGATGAATCAAAAACATGGACGTTACCTTTCTGCAATTTTTTGTTGAGTTTGGGTAGTTTTGAGCAGCAGATTTTTTTAACCTTCCGACCTAAAGAGAAAAAATAGCACATTACCAGTGGGGACTGAGGATAGTTATGTGTGTATTCACCAAGTAGGCTGGAATCCTTCGACATTTTGGCTATTACTTTATATTTGAAATCCTTCAATAGACTTCTGCAAAACATGGGATCATCATGATTGATTTTTCACCAGCGAATACAGCCTTAACCCTAAAAAAGGGACAAGCATGACTTCTCCCTCACCCAACCCTGCTGCTGGATACAGTACCTTAGACACATTACAGGGATTTTCACCCCTTGAAACGTCACATAGTGACAGAGAATACAGTCAATGGATTTCAGTTGCCTTAATCCAATAAACAGACTTGGCACTGCTTTTAGTTAATTACTTAATGAAAGTATAAAAATGGAGTGTGTGGCACATGCACAAGGTGTAGAATAGATTACTACTCCTTATCTATTAGGAGACTAATTAGGGAGACTTTGCACACAGACAAGAATGCAGCAACCTGTGTGTTTTCCTGAGTTTTTTTTTCCATCAGGTGTGTTTCTCCCGTCTTTCCTGGTATGTTCCTGCATCCTATGTTCATCTAGAGATCCTTCTCCTGGGAACCCAAGTAAAGCAAGGAGAGGGGGCAGAAATACCTCAGCTGCATATACACTGGTATTTCCTAGTGCTCATTCGGCCTCAGCACAGTTCTAGTCAATAGCACTAACTGGCAGAAAGATAAAAAGCCTGRACTGCTCATCTGACCAGACTTAGAGACAGTTTCTACATGCTTCTCCCCACTGAGGCACATAACTTAAAATGATTCCTGCGAGGTTTCTAGAAGAGATGAAGCACTAGGTCTGCTACCCCTGACCTTTGGACATTTAGCTTATTTGTCTTTCCTTATTCTCATTCATTATCCATACCTGTTTAAAAGCTAAACACCAGGGAATAATCATACTGAGATTTACAACACCAAACATTAAAAAGCTGAACAGATAGCTAAAGAAATTTAAAAAACTTTTCAGATTACAAAGTCTGCCTCACTGCAAATCCAGAACGACACTTTCAGATGTGCTACAGTAAAAAGATCGAGGCCCATTTTTAAGATTTAAACTCTTTGTGAAGTTCTGTGTTTTGAAATACTGCAAAACATTAGTGGCACAAAGTATATGCGCTAATTAAAATGTGTAGCATCGGGTGCAGGTGGGAGAGAACAAAACCCAGCTTTTCTGACAGAGTCAGGACAGYTATTCCCACACACCCTTGAGTAACCAATCTCTCATTTACTCCAGTTCAGGGTAACTGACTTATCCTTCTGGAACAAGGGAGTACGAAGCTATCAGCTTTATCCATGAATGTATTTCCTGATCAGCCAGACTATTATATTGTCAGATGGATATCTAACGAAAAATAGCATAGTTTCTTTACAGAGGAGAGATTAACTTCAGGGAAATTAATCATGCTGAACTACATGTAACAGGTAGTAACAGAAACCTCGGCATGACAGATGAAACACTGCTGTGAAAGCCAAATGAGCATTAATACACAACCACATTCAGCAGCTTTAGATTTCATTTTGCTCTTCCATCTCTACTGCCAAGCTTTGTTTTGTTTTCTAGAATTAAATCAGCATACAGATAGAGAATAAGCATTTTTAAATCACAAGAGGAAAGAGGAGGAAAAGAAACAAGGCAGCTATGTTAGAAGAATGTACTGTACCTTCCCCTGTAAAGGCATTGAAGCACAGAAGGAAGATAAGCAAGAAGCCACAGAGCGTCAGCAGCTTCATCCTTCCAGCTAGTCAGGAGGCTTGTCTGGGGAGCCAGAGAGCAGCGTTCTGGTCTGCCTCCAGCAGAACCTTCGCTTTTATAAGGTAGATCCGAAGGAATGCTGCGCTCGGGATGGGTGGGGATTTGGCCTTTGTATTGTACTTCAAGGGATGACAAGGGACAGAAACAGCCCTCTCTGCTACAAGAAATCAAGCAGCAATTAACTCACATTAGAGGGTCCTTCCAGTTGGTGTGGGGAGCCTGGCTTCAAGTGCCAGAGCAAAGGGATGCTCTGAGGCATTGCCTCACCTTGCAACTGGGTCCCGTGGTTCCACAGCAGCTTCCCTGGGCGACCTCATGTGCTTCGGGGTACTGGTGAAGACCGAAAGAACTACTAAAAATGAAGCTGCATGGTAACTGGAAAAGGTGAAACAAACCCATTGTGTTTAAATCAGAGCAAATTTCAATGTGGTATTAACATAATCAGCAAGACACCTGGCTAAGCAGTATATTTGAGTTTATTATTAACTTCTCAGTATCTATTATGCCTGGATAATTAAGTCCCTCAGAGAGTCCTTTTCACAGTCAAGATAAAGAAGTCCATCAAATTCAACACAGTACCAAGGTTCACAGAGAAGGTATTAAAAAAAACCTCTTTCAAACAGAGGTGAATCTCAGATTTGACAGTCTCCTGCATCAGGTGGATATGCAGCTTTGGCAGTATCTGCTTATCCTGAAAAGATATGGTTCCCAACTGGGCAAATAAGCTGCAAGGATCAGGCAAGTTTAAAGGTACAAGTGGCATCAGTCTGAAACTGCAGTGGGAGAGGAAGCTTCACTCTGGCACACAGCATGCACAGACATCCTCTGCACACACAGACTGAAATTCAGAGATTTTGTACCTGAGCTTCCTTCTTGTGCTGGACTGCCAAACTTCCTAATCAGGACATCCCTTTATCCACCAGTTTTGGCTAAAATCACTCATTTTTACATTGCTACCTTATGATTTCCAAATATTATGAGATTTGCTAAGGCCATATATTTTTCCCCCAAGGGCTGACACTACCAAGTCTGCAAGATGAAAATTAGTAACAGCACGTGAACTAAAAAACAAACAGCCATCTTTTTGCCAGCGAATAGAGAAACAATCTTATAAAATGTAGAAATAGAAGAACAGTTATTACCATAACCAAATACGACTTTTGGGGGAGGGTATAGATGTGAGGGCAGATATTACAAATATAAATAGCTATATTTAAACCAGGAGTACTCTAGAAAGTATTTTGATCTGAAAACATCCATACAGTCCATTTTAGTAAGCAAATCTAGGATATCAATGCATTAACAGAAACATTAAATTGCTTTAGGTGTACTCTGAACTGGGAAGAATATTTAAGTCATGAACTTAGAACATAGGAGGAAATCAAAGCTGGTAAAAGCTGAATATTTTCCAAATTGGTTTCCTACAATAATCTTCTCAATTGCAACTTTAAGCTTCTGTTTCAGCAGACAGCTTGATTTGTGGTGAAAGCCTTTCAAACACGCATTTGTGGAAGCTGTGGCACAGGCCTTCCCACCTCAAAGCAGAAAAACCCTGGAGTGCCTTTTACTGTCCATTCTTATTCAGGAAATGACTCACCTGATTTTAACAAGGTGGAAAACTATTACATAAAATCAAGATTGAAATTCTCTGTTTTCTAAGCTAAATGATACTTATATCAAGACAACGATAGCTCCCTTTTCCTTCCTCCTGTACCACCTGATAGGCAAAGCTGTAGATAGGGTATGGAAAAGAACATGAAAGTTTAAAGAGAATATATTACCTGTCAAAATATTCAAAAATTCTTCCAGGCTGAATCTTAAAAAAGATTCAGGCTTGGTGGTATTCACTGACAGCAAACTCATTAGGATCACAAGAAGGGTTAGCACAGGTAGCCAAGCTGTGCTGCAGGTCTAGTTCAACACACAGCCCTCGTACTCACTACTGACTAAAAGAGGACAGAAACAGGTTACTTCTTTCATCTTTTCCTTCAGAATCACCAGCAAAAAAATGTTTTTTCAACGGATAAGACAAATCTTTGCACGCACAGAACAGAGCAACCAGAAACAATCTTTTTCCAAGAAAACAGAAAACCAGAATTTCAACCTAAACTAAGCACGTAGAGCATTCTGGCAAACACCAGGGGCTCACAACATGCCTGCTGAGATCAGCAGAACACGCAACATGCCAAAAAAGGAGAAAGGGTAGATGGGAAAGTCATTTCTCCACAACATTCAACCAAGCTGCTTGCAAAGTGTCAGTTAAGTACCTAAAACTACAATATTTTATCTCCACCACACTGGGAAAATTCAAGGCAAACTCACATATATGAAAACAATATATAATACAAGAGATATTTAAAACYGCAAAGGGAGTATAGTTGTTGGTAATAAGATACTTTCAATACATCTGAGAGCTAGAGAATAAATAAAAAGTGCACACACACACTGCTTCTAAACAGTTCAGTCTATTGCCCTGTGAATTTGAATTAAATCTCATTTAAATTTGGAAGCATTTAATTACAATATGTAATTATTATCCATGTGATAACTTAAGAAATCACAATATCTTGGTTAAATTTTGGTCTTGAGTCAATGAAGAGTTTTCTAGTAAGTGGACTAGAGTTGAATTCTTTATATATGTCATATGTGCATGCATAGCTTTTATACATATATTTATATATATTTATATAAAAAATATAAATATTTTTTAAAGAAACTGAGATCCTCCCAAAATGTCCGGGAAAGATGGGTAGCAGAGATAGTGCATGGAGTCTAAAAGCTAGAAAGGGAGTTATTGTTGATTCCTGTGTGCTTTATGATATATCACTAGATCTACTTGCTGTTCAATTCTCTCTGCTTTACCYGCTAGGGATAGAATTGTACATTGAACTGAGGACTGAAAAGTATTTTTCAGGAGTTGGACTGTTTTAGCCCACTGGAAGTAAGAGGCAAAGTCCTCATTTACTGGCAAAAAAAGTTAGCTCTGTCACTTAGCATAACTATATGTAGGTAACAACCCTGTGAACAGAATGCTTTAGCATTAACTCACGAAAGATGTATTACTGAAAAATCAAACCAAAGCCTCTGCAGTGACAAATGGTCAACATCCTCCTGTCAAAAGTCACTACTTACTGCCATCATTAAAGCCCTCGCCATTCTTTTTTGACTCTCAAAAGTAACTTCAGTTTCACTGACTTTACGGTGGTTATTTCTGAAACTCACTCCAGTCTTCCCACTCTTCTGTTAAGCAAGTATCATTTTTTTTCCATAAGAATTTAGTTTGCATCAAGATGACAACTGAAAAAAATTTTAAAAATTAAATTAAAAAAAGAGAAAATTCAAGCCACATCTCAGCTCCACATTTTAAAATGGCAGCAGTTCTCAAACATGAAAGGGAAGTAAGATGCAAAAAAATCTCACGGAAGGCATATATTAACTCAAGCCTACCAAGACCTTATCCCAAAGAAACACAGGTCTTTAACACCGAACAGCCACTCTCCTTTTCATGCATACAAAAAATTATCACCTTATATAAAAGAAGAAGAGGTTAAGCAGGTAATACTGGCTATCAGTTACAGAACAATCTCAACACGTGATGGTTATTGACATTTCCAGCTATATTCATTTAATGAAGCTGGAAGACTGCTGGAATGCTAAATGCATTACAGTTGCTGCCAATATCTGTCTCAAAGAAGAAGTATCTTTCTTCTGCAATATTTACAACAGAATATTGGCAACAGGACTGTTTACGGGTTTGCTTTCCTCAACAGAAAGGACTAAAGCACAGCCTTACCCCCTACCCTGAGCAAGAAGCAAGAGCTACTTGAGGGTCCCCTCTGGTTTCCGGGCAGAAGGCCTAGCTGCTGCTGGGGCTCCTCTTCTGCAGCAATCAAAGCAGCCAGAGGGCCTCAACCTGCTTCCTTCCCTTCCCACCCGCCCTCACCACAGTGGGGCAACGGAATAGGGGTAGGAAGCTCTGCTACCTGCCCATGTTAAGCTGTTTGCACCTTTTCTGTCCTTGAAGCTCCTGCATCTCTTGTTCTGACTTCAGAGAAGCCAGTCAAACACTCATCTAAACTTCGTCCCAAAGAGAGCCAAGGACTTTGGCAAAGAAGCCAAAAATTGTCTTACGATACAGGGGGCTTAGAAATACTACTAACACATGCAACAGCTCAGCAAGGAGGCTGCTTGGGACAAAACGCTAGTATTCCCAAATGAAGGCATGAAAGTTTAACTTGAAACTAGCCGAACATTTCTGGCATGGAGATGAACTMAGTTTTCGCATTTTTATAACTCCAAACTTTCCATTCCAAGTAAGAAAGGTTAGCTATATTCGATCTGTACACATGCATTTTTATAGAGCATGGTTCACCACAACTGATTAGTATGACCATAATTGCCAAGTCATTTTCCACAAAAACACTTGGTCCAAACCCACTTCTTTTGGTAGAGCTAGAGAAGGTACAAACACTTACTATTAACATTTGAGCTTAGCATATGCTCATAGTGCTTTTCTATGTTTGCATTTAATACGCCAATTAAGGTACAACATTTTTCATTTATGATTTTTGCAGACTGTTCTTTTAATTCTTCCTTTTATAGCCAGAAGTCTTCCTATTTTCTGGCTGCTGAATACATAATTAACACATGTCCAGCTCATTTCCCACTCTGCTAATTTTCCTAACTGATACTACAGCACATCATCGAGTTCTTGGTTAGTGTTACACACATGCATAAAATAGGTTAACTGGCACACCTAGTTATGGCCTTAAAGCCCTGGGGCATTATATACTGCTCCAGGCATGACTCAAACACATACAGAAATTCCTGCTAAGAAATTCCTGTAAAAGGCGGGGGATTTTTATTTCGCTGGATATGCCAAAGAACAAATAGGGCACATGCTTGCCTTATAACTAATTTAAGACCTGACTACAATTTATATTTCTAAGGATTCCCATGTTCTTTTATGTAATTCCAT